TCATCATGCACGCGAGTTGTCTACGACTCGCGTGCAAGTGGCTTAATATCGAGCCGACTTACGGTCTCTTCCGAAAAATATATAAAATCAAGGAGCCCACCACGCGGAGCGACTGTCTTTCTATTAAGCGTCGCGACAAGAGGCCCGATGGCTTCGTGTACGGGTCGCCCAAGTTGAAGAAGACGTGGTTCGAACGTTTCTTCTACGTCAAGCCCGTTCCTGGAGAGTGGGCGAGTGAGTTTGTTGAGGAGCCTACTGAATGGAAGAACGGCAGTACGCGCGGGTACGAGTCGGATGTCGGGGTCTACGACGGGCTGGACGACGAGTACGAGGCGTGCATGGATCACAGGATGAACTTATACCTCGCTGGAGTGCGCGAGGCTTGTTTGCAGGAGATATTCGCCGATGGTTAGTTGCATTTCTTTTGTTTTGCATTCTATCATATTAACCGCTTTCTTACGACTTATTGGCGCAGGTGTTGATTTCTCTAGCTTGGTGAGCATGATGTCAGTCGATGACGTCGCGCCGCGCGCTGACAAGAAGAAGAAGAAGAAGGAGAAGGAGAGCGCGGTGCCGAGAGGCACAAAGCGGAAGGAGGTTGAACAGCCACCGGTGGTTGAAAAATCCCGCAAGGTGGCTCACGCGGCGGAGTCAAGCCCACGGGAGGCGCGGGTTCCACCAGCGGAACAACCGATGTCTGACGCGCGGCAGCTGGCCTTAGCGCTCTCACAGCCGGAGGCGGCGGTGAACAGGCCTTCTCGGTCTCAGAGAGAGAAGGTTGGAAGTTCGTCCGGCGCCACCGTGCAGCAAAAGCTGCCTGAGATGGCAGGCTTTGGGGGGACTGCCGCAACCGCCACTCCTGGCGCCGCTGCTGTCAATTACCTCCGCGATGTGCGGATTCACACCTCTGCTTCTTGTAATTTGGTGGCCGCGAATACCGCGCTCCGGGCGCTTGGGCCTGTCCTCAGGTACGGGCCTTCCTATGTTGAAGCGAGCTTGCCATGTTTGGGATCGGGGCGGAAGTTCCTGCGTAGCACTTGATCCCCGAGCGCCAATTTGTGCGGGACCAGTTTCGCGTTGTAGTACTTGGCTACTTGCGCTTTCGTCGCGGCTAGTTTGATGGCTGTCAACTCTCGTCGTTCTTGTGCTAGCTCTAGGTCCAGCAGGCGTGCCTCGTCGTTATCTGCCTCGTTGTACGCCATGACTCGGTATGTTGGGAACGTCACTTCTATGGGTATAACCGCGTCTGTGCCATAGGTGAGGGCGAATGGGGTTTCGCCCGTTGCCACTTTGTAGGTGGTGCGATGCGCCCATAGCACCGTGTTGAGCTCATCCGCCCAATTGCCTTTGGCGTCGTCTAGTCTTGTAAGGAGGCCATACAAGATGATTTGTTGGCTGCCTCCGCTTGGCCGTTGGCCTGGGGGTAGGCTACCGATGCGAATCTCGCGATGGCTCCTACTTGGTCACAAAAGTCTATGACCTCCGCACAGTCGAATCGCTTGCCATGATCGAAGATGAACGCATTCGGGACCCCGTAGCGCGCCAGGATATTACTTTTTAAGAAGCGCGTTACCTGATGCGCCGTTATAGAAGCCAGCGCCTCCGCCTCGATCCACTTGGTAAAGTAGTCAACCGCCACAATTATGTATTTGCGCTTCCCTTTTGCTGTTGGGAATGGGCCCAGAAGGTCTACTCCCCATTGTGCGAAGGGCCAGGCGCTCAGGTTGCCTTGGAACTCCGTCGATGGGAGATGATGCTGGCGAGCGTGTAATTGACACTTGTTGCATTCGTCGACGTACTTCTTTGTGTCCTTTTTCACCCGCGGCCAATAGTAGCCATGTAACAGTATGGTGCGCTCCATACTGCGCGCACCGGCGTGCATCGCGCACATTCCTTCATGCAGCTCTCGCACCATGTTGCGCGCCTCGTCGTTTCCGATGCATTTGAGATATGCTCCGGAGTACGATCGTCGGTATAAGTCCAGGCCAATTATTGTGCATCGGGCCGCCTTCTGCCTCAAGGTCCATGCTTCCTTGGCATCTTCTGGCACCATGCCGTCTTGTAAGAACCTTATGATCGGGGTTCTCCAGTCATCTTCCGCGATTTGGGTGGTGTTGACCGTGGCCTCTTGGTTGGTTTCCTCTTCCTCCTTTTGTACTGTCACTAGGCGTGTAGATTCGAAGTTTGTTGCTGTTGCCAGTTTGGATAGCGCGTCGGCGTGCATGTTTTCTTCCCTTGGTATTTGCACGTATTTCACCGCCTCGAAAGCGGTTGCTCGTTGCTTGACGCGCTCCATATAATGCGCGAGTGCATCTTCTTTGGCATCGAAGGCCCCATTCAGTTGGTTGACCGCTAACGATGAGTCGGAGAGTACTCTGATTGTTCTAGCGCCCAACTCATTGGCAGCCGCCATTCCCGCCAAGATGACTTCATACTCGGCGGCGTTATTTGTCTTCAAGGCTCTGAATCGGATTGCTATTTCGTGCACAACACCTGTGGGCGTGCGCACGACTACCCCTGCGCCGGCGCCGTGCTTGCTCGCCGCACCGTCTACATAAACCTCCCACACCCCTTCCGGTGTCGTTTCCAGGGTTACTCCCTCAGCGACGAAATCTGCCAGGATTTGCGCCTTTATTGCTGGACGCGAGGCATACTGGATGTCGTACTCTGACAGTTCGACGGCCCACTTTACCATCCGCCCCGATACCTCCATTGAAGTTAGGATCTTTTTTAACGGGAGGTTGGTTAGGACAGTGATTCGGTGTACCTGGAAGTACGGGCGTAGTTTTTGCGCTGCGCTAACCAGCGCTAATGCTGCTTTCTCGATGGGGGAATACCTTGTTTCTGCGCTGACCAGAGTTCGCGACGTGTAGTACACCGGGCGCTCGCCCTGACCGTCTCTCTTGGATATTAGTACTGCGCTTACGGCTCTTGTGGACACGGCAAGATACAGGAAAAGCTCTTCATTAATTTTTGGGGCAGTCAATACAGGGGTGGAAACAAGATAGGCTTTGAGCTCTAGGAAGGCCGCTTCGCACTCCTTGGTCCATGCAAATCGCGCGCCGTTTTTCAGTGTCTTGAAGAATGGGGCGCACTTGTCTGCTGATCTTGGGATGAACCTTCCTAGCGCCGCAATTTTCCCGTTCAGAGACTGGATCTCCAATGTGTTTCTTGGCGCGCGCAAGCCCTGGACTGCGGTGATTTGTTTTGGGTCGACTTCGATGCCGCGCTTGGTGATCATGAATCCCAAGAATTTTCCGGCTTCTGCTCCGAACACGCATTTCAGCGGGTTCAGGCGAAGACTGTGTTTGCGAAGCGCTTCGAATGTCTCGCACAGGTGATCCAGATGAGACTTCCCTGCCTTGGTTTTGACGATGAGGTCATCCACGTATGCCTCAATGTTGCACCCCCTTTGCTATGAAAACACTGCGTCGATCATCCTCTGGTATGTCGCGCCAGCATTCTTCAGTCCAAATGGCATTCCTACAAAACAGAAGTTTCCGAACGGCGTCATGAAGGCTGTCTTTTCTTCGTCTTCGCGCGACATTGGAATTTGGTGGTACCCTGAGAACATGTCCAGGAAAGACAGTGTTTCATGGTCGGCGGTGGCGTCGATCAGTTGGTCGATGCGCGGCAGCGGGTAGGGATCCCCTGGGCACACCTTGTTGATCGTCGTGTAATCGACACACATTCGCCAAGCCCCCGAGGACTTTTTTACCAAAACCACATTCGCCAGCCACTTCGGGTATTTCACTGGACGGATTAACCCCGCCGACAGCAGGCGCGCCACCTCTTCCTCAATGACTTTAAGCTTGTCGCCCGTAAAGCTCCGTCGCGCCTGTTGTCTTGGCATCGCGTTGACTGGGACCCCAAGGGAATGTTGGGCGACATCTCTTGGCACTCCTGGCATGTCCTCCGTGCAGCACGCGAATAGTTCTTTATACTCTTTCAGCAACCTTATCAACGGTTCAATCGCGTCTCCAGGGATGTGAGTTGAGACGCGTATCTTGCGTGTCGGCTCGTTCGGATCAAGGGCAACTTCGAAGTCAGAATCCATTGACTCCGGGCGAGGCTCTTCTGCCCTTGTGTCCACAATGTTGGTCTGGCGGACTTCTCCTAGCTTTGGGGCCTCCCATGTTGTCCCGCGCGCTTCGCCGCTCCCCTCCTTAGTGGGGAATTTAAGTTTCTGGTGACATGTTGACGGGAGAGCCATGAATTTTGCCAAGAGCGGGCGGCCAAAGATGCCATTGTGGGGGGAGTTGCAGTCGACTATCATGAACTCGACTTGCTTCGAGATGCGTGGCTCTTGGTCCCCGAGCACGACTGAAAGAGTGACCACACTGATAACTGGGACCCTCGTGCTGAAGAAACCGACTAAGTTCCCGTAGGCGGGTTTGATTAGCCGCCGATCGATGTCCATCTGGTCGATCGTGCTTTTGAAAAGGATGTCCGCCGCGCTGCCCCCGTCTATCATTAGGCGGCGAACCTTGCAGGCGGCGATGAGCGCGGTGATGATGAGCGGGTCCTCTGACGGGACCCCTCCAGGGAGTTCAGCGTCGTCGAAGCTCAAGTTGCACTTCTGTGGAGCTTCCGCCGCCGCGCACTCTATGGCGCGGTCGCGCTTGGTCTTTTTCTTCGAGCGGTCCCCTTCTATAGTTACCACCCCAATTTCTTTTCGCACTACGTACGAGCCCGAGGCGTCGTCGTAGTCAGCCTGTGGAGGTGGTGGGGGTTCCACAGTACGCTCCACCGGTTCTTCCGCTCCGCGAATGAACTCGTTCAGGAGTCCCCTTTGTATGAGGCCCTCGATCTCATAGCGCAACTCCCTGCAGTTTTCTGTCCAGTGGCCCGTGTCCCTGTGGAATTCGCAGCGCTTCTTGGGGTCCCGCATGTGCGTGAGGGTCTTCATGGGAGCGGGCCAATTGATTTTGTACCCCTTCTCTCGCAGGACATGGTAGACGTTCTTAACCGTGTCGTTGAGGGGTGTATAGTTTGGCGGGCGCCTATCTGGCGACCGTCCCCGATGGGCTTATTCTAGAGGAGGTGGTGGGCATCTGGCGCCGCTGTGCGCTTGCAACAGCTGGTCTCGCGGCACGGGAAGTTGCCTGCGAGCTTGATCTTCTTTGGGCATTTTGGCGGGTTTGAAACGTCTGATGGAGCCCGCGCCCAACGTCTCTTCCAAAGTGATGGCCTTTTCAATCTTGATCTCAAGCTCCGTAGATAGCGTGATTGGTCTCTTTGCTAGCGTTCTTTTGAGCTCCATGCTAGTGGTGGCGTCCATGAGGTGATGGGCGGCGGTTTCTGGGGTGAGATCTCTTACGGCCATTGCCACCCTGGACCACCTGGCGTAGAACGCCCGCAAGCTTTCTCCATCCTTCTGGCGGATGTCTATCAGCGCCTTGAGGTGGAGAGGCCTTCTTTTTTGTGACGTGAACTTCGTTGTGAACAGGAGTATGAACTCTTCGAAAGAGCGGATGATTCCATTGGGGAGGGGGTTATACCAGTCGAGGCATATCCCGGAAAATGTTGATGGGAACATCCGGCACAGTGCCGCGTTAGAGTTGGTTTGGAGTTGCATCCGCAGGCAGAAGGTGCTGACGTGATCCTCAGGGTCGGTTGTTCCGTTGTACGTGGGGAGGGTGGGTGGTGTCCCGCTCAAGTGTTCCGCCATGATCTCCGCGCACAACGGTTGATGCAAGGCCTTTCTAGGTGGATTGGGGCGGAACTGTGGGGACAGGTGCTGCTCCAAGAAGCTGAGGTCCGCTCTTCCAGGTGGTTCGTATGGCTGGGCTTCAGGCGCGGTCAACTCGACCGCTGTCTGATGTGGTGGCGGGATATCGTCTGATGTCCCTCCTTGCGTTAGCAGTAACGCGTCAGACGGCGCGCTCGGCGCTGCCGCAGCTTCTCTGCTCATCATGAGCGCAATAACTTGGCTCATCTGCTTTTGCATATCGGCAATTACGTCATTTTGCTTCGTCACCAGCTGCCTCATCTCCTTGGCCGTCAGTTCGGGCTCTTCTTCCTCGATGAGTACCGCGTCGCGGTTACTAGCTTCCGCGAGTCCCGCGAACACCCTAGGCTCCGTCATTGCCTTGATGGGGGTCGCTTCGCCGAGTATGTTGGAGTTTCGTTCTGCCATTTTTTCTTCAGGCCCCACGGTGGGCGCCAATTGTTTGAACCTAACTGAGTGTAGGAGTGAGGTTCACGAGAATGGGTCGAGAAGAATGGATGGCTTAGTTGAACGAGAACTTTGGGATAACAGAGAGGGAGGATGGAGCTGAGATAGAGAGAATGTGTCTAGTGAGAGAAAGTGTTGATCTTAGAGATAGAGTTTGAAAAATCCGATCCCCTCACCCACCGGAGTAAATGCCATATTTATAGGCTACATGGTGGTGGGTGAGTGGTTGGGTTACAAGTGGGTACAATGATATGACCACTGACATGCCAGGGATTTAGTCCATGCTTTTAGGACCCTGATGTGACTACTCCTGACACAGGCAGGACTATTCCTAGGACTATGATGGTGACTACCCGTTGGGTGATGCGGCGCCGCTTCTGCGGCTTCTCGATAAGGGCCCACGCCTGGGTGACGCGTCGTCGTTTAGTATTCGCGCGCGCCCCTCCGGGGGTGGTCTTCACCGGCGTGCTTGGTTCCGGCGCGACCTGCGCGCTCGACTCCGGCGCTTGACTCCGGTGTACTCGCGCGCCATTCTTTGGCGTGATTATCCTTAGTGTTTCTTCAGTGGGGAGAGATCCGAGTCACATGCCCAACAGTAACGATCAGCTTTAATCGAAACATGTAGCATAATTAGCATTACTTTAACATGAGTATACTAAACAAGTTCATCTAAAACGATAACTAACTAACAGTAATTCGTGAAATACAAACATATAACTACTAAAACATCAACAATCTAAACAATCAAATTAAAACATACCTTAAATTAGAGTTTTTGTATTAAATGGGGAAGGGGTTTGGCAGAAATGGGTGAGGGGTTCGGCAGAAATGGGGGAGGAGTTTGGTCCGGTAGCTACGTGGGCAGGTTATTTGTTTGACCAACAACCAGTGTTCACCGCGTTTGTCTAAATCGATGAAAGGAAAACCGTTTTAGACAAACACGGTGAATATTAGGTTGTTGTGACCAAATTATTCACCTACCAAGACTAAAAAAATGTGAGAAATGTTCACCACTTTTGGATTTGTGTTGGATTTTTACTTTTAGGTTGCTACTCTAATATGAATATAACGATAGTAGTGTTTCTATCTATGTTCTTGTTTACAGCCAAAAAATAATATTGTACCACATTGATTATTTGCAAGGCATTAACTGTCTTTATAAGGCCAGATCATTAATGACAATTAATGTTATTTGAACTAGGCCTCATGATAATAGTTCTAAGCCCCAAGCTATTAAGTATCCAAGAAGGAGCTAGTCTTTTTTTTTTACGAATTCAAGAAGGAGCTAGTCTCGTCAGCACTTAACGGACTCTATTAATGAAGTTGGACGGAGATGAACGGAGAGTGACCAAACATGATATGTTTTACTAAACTTAATAACCATTAAGAATATTAATTTTTCTAGTTAGATACAGTTTAGTAAATTCAATTATCAGTATTAACCCAAAAAAAGTAAAGAAATGAACTAGTGTTTCTACTCTTTTTCATCAACGTTTTTGCTCGTCCTAAAATCCCCCGCATGTAGACTTTAGTGTAGAAAGCTGTCTTTTACAGCAAAAAATGACAAAAGATGGTCAGCGCGGCTATGGGGGAGGTCCTCGAGGCTGGGGTCTTCACACACCAAAAAACGGGCGCAGTCTTCGTGAAACTCCGGGCATTAATTGATGTAACGAAGCCGCTGCGATCCCAGCTGATGGCAACGAATGAGGAAACAGGATGCTTCTGGGTGGCTCTTAAGTACGAGCATCTCCCGAGCTTCTGTTTTCGATGTGGGAGACTGGGGCATCTGCAACGGGAATGCAACTTCGATCCCCCCACTCGGAAGGAGAAGTACGGGATCCATATGACCACGAAACATTTGGGCACCAAACTTTATGCTGCAGATGATGATAGTCCTCCGTTTCGTGGCCACCCATCTTCGGTTTGGGTCAATAAAGAGTTTCGTATGCAAGAACAAAAAGGGAGGCAGCCAGCGGCCAGGAAAGCGGACCAAGCAGGGACATTGAGAGGATCTGTCCAACCAGAAGCAACCCGTCCCCACCAAGCCGAAGTGGCGCGCCTGGGGGTTCATCGTGGCGAAGAGAGGAGCCCGGTTGAGAGGCGAAGAAGCCCCAGGGGATTTGGGCTATCAAAGCCAGTGCGTACTCCCCGGGGTGCACGCCGAGTTGTAGCAACGCGGGAGGTGGCAGCTGCTTCGAAGAGAGATGGGAAAATCCGCCAGCTGCAAGATGCAGAGAGGCATCATGACCGGGAGGAGGAAGATGACAGTGTGCTGCGGAGGAAGAGTGGGCCGAAGGTTGTTCGGGAACGACCGGGGCCAAGGGAGGAGGCTGTTCAGAACAGAAAGGGGCCGAGGGAGGTGATGCGGGCGCCTCCGCCACCACCACATCGCCGCCGACTGCTGCTACCGGGTCAGACGATGAACACGAGCAGGTGAAGGAGGTTCCTCGCAGGAATAGGCGACGGAAGGAGGAGAACCCAGTCCAGCCATTGGGATCGGCTGCTCTGCTAGCTCCGAAGGAGAAACTGCCATCGGAAGGGGTAGCTAGCCGGGCTGTGGCTGCTCTGAGGCGTCGCCGCCTCCACAAGACTCAGGGGGAGGATGTGACGGATCGGGAGTCTGTCCCGGTACCTGTGAGCCGTCCTCTTACACGTAAGGAAAAAGGGAAAATGAAGATGGTGGAGTCGGACTCGGACTCGGAGGAGTGGGAGCCGGCCTTTCAGTCTAGGGAAGCGAGTCGTTCCCCGCAAGGCAATGGGGGAGGTGATGAAGGTAAGGGCATCTCTTGCAATGATTCGGAAACCACCTTGTCGGAAGAAGGAGTGGACCGTTTTGTGGTCCAAAGCCGAAACCCCCAGGTGGCTCGGCAGAAGGGTTGCTCTATTCCAGAGGGGCATGTTCGGAATGTGGTGCTCGCCTGGGAAGCGGGGAAAGAGCTATCTATCGAGGAGAATGTCTCCCCGGGGCGTCCAAATTCCATGGGGGTCACTGCTCACTGAATGAGTATGGATCAAATGATGCAGTCCTTGGGATTGGGAAGAGAAAGAGGGATTCTGAATCGGGAGATGATGGTCTTGAGGGGGACCCTAGCCCTAAAAAGCAATTTGTTGAAGACAATGGAGGGGAAGCTGAACAGGTGGAGGAAGCCAGCCGAAAATGGCCCCAAGAGGATAAATGAAACTACTGGCCTGGAATGTGAGAGGAATTGGACCCTTCCTCACATTCCAAACGGCGGTAGGGTTAGTGCGGTCGAATAAACCGGAACTTGTCTTTTTTCGGAGACAAGGTCTAGCCGGAGAGTTGTTTCCCGCCGTATGCGGGGTTTGGGTTTTCAGTCTCCTTTTTGTTTTTTTTTGTTGTTGTTGTTGATGCATCGGGTGGTCTGGTCGTCGCGTGGTCCCCTGAAGTCGATGCTTCAGTGTTTTCTCATTCAAATTTTTACATTTGTACAAGGATTAATGAAAGTCAATTTTCCTATGTGGTGATTGGTGTCTATTTAAGCTGCAATCCTTCTATTCGTGCGCAGCAGCTGGACGAACTCCATACTATTTGTGATGGGATCGAGTTACCTTTTGTGATCATTGGTGATCTTAACACCACGCTTCACGCGGGTGAGAAGGATGGGGGGGAATCCCTGGCAGGCTACCCAATCGGTGGCGCTGCATGATTTCATCCATTCCCTTGGCCTCCATGATCCTGGTTACCAGGGGGATCAGTTCACCTGGACTAACAAACGGATGGGGGTTGGCTGCATTCGCGAGCGGTTAGACCGTGCTCTTTGCTCACAAAGATGGATTGATACGTACCCTGACACTTTGGTCAAACATTTTACAGACCAAGGTTCGGATCATCGTGCCTTGCTTCTTTCTGACAAACCTTATCCTCGCCATTGTCGGCCGCTATTTCGGTTTGATGCTCGTTGGGCGGAGAATCCGGAGGTCCGAGCTATGGTGAGCTATGTTTGGCAGGAAGAGGTGCATGGTACACCGATGTTTAGGCTTTGGACACGATTGAAGAAGCTTCGTCATCTGCTTTATGATTGGAGCAGAGTAGGGACCACCAATTCCTTGAGGAATATAAAGTCCCGCTAGACTGAAATTGATCGTGTCAAGCAGCAGATTCCAATTGACTGGGATACTGTCAAAACCTTGGAAACGGAATTGAACCGACAATGGGTAGCAGAGGAAAGCTACTAGCAGCAGAAATCCAGGGTTCACTGGTTGAAGAAAGGGGACCAAAACACCTCTTATTTCCATACCGTCACGAGAGCCAGGCGCAAACGTAACTTTGTGACTGTTCTCAGGAATGATGCGGGCGAGTGGATAACAGAGGAAAAGGGTAAAGCAGAGATTGCCACTACTTTTTACCAAACCCTTTTTGCTTCTGAAAACCAGGTTAGTAACATGGAGGCGAGGGTCGAGGCCCTCCCCATGGAATGTAAAGTCACGGCTGCTATGAATGCGAACCTAATTGCGGAAGTCCTTCCGTGCGATGTCCGCCGGACGGTTTTCTCAATGGGTTCAAAACAGGCGCCAGGCTCGGATGGATTCACGGGGAAGTTTTTCAAAGCTTATTGGGACATTGTAGGTGCGTCTGTGGTTGAGGCTGTCCGCTCGTTCTTCCAGACAAGCAGGATCTTGCAAAGTTTCAACCACACCTGGATTACCTTTGATACCCAAAGTGGATAATGTGGAATCTATACGCCAACTTCGTCCCATCAGTTTATGCCAATTTGTGTATAAAATTATCACAAAAATCATGACGGAGAGGCTAGCTTGTATACTTCCACAGATAATTTCGGAGGGTCAAAATGCATTTATCCGAGAAAGGCAGATTGTGGAGAATGTTCTGCTGGGGCATGAGCTTATGCATTACCTAAAAATTAAAAACCGTGGGAAGAAAGCGTACATGGCTCTGAAGGTTGATATGGAAAAAGCCTATGACAGAGTCGAGTGGCCCTGTCTCTTTGCAGTTTTGACAAAGTTAGGTTTTGACCAGACATGGATTGGGTGGGTTAGAGAGTGTCTACGGACGCCATCTTTCTCGATTATGATGAATGGAACTCCCTATGGGTTTTTTAAGCCAACCCGGGGTCTTCATCAGGGGGATCCGCTCTCCCCTCTACTCTTTGTTTTGTGCACTGAAGGGTTCGCAGCATTGATCTGACGCGCTGTCTCTGAAGGGAAACTCGAGGGGATTAAGGTGGCCCCCCGCGCCCCGCGGATTTCACATTTGTTTTTCGCGGACGATTCATACTTGTTTCTACGGGGATCACTAACTCAGTGTGAGAATTTGATCGATGTACTAAATGAGTATGAGGAGCTGAGTGGACAACGGGTGAATTTGGAGAAATCGGCGGTCTGTTTTAGTAAGAATGTGGCCATCCCGGATCAGGAGTTTTTAGCGCAGATCCTGGGCGTGGGCGCGGTGGGAGTGCAGGATAAGTATTTGGGGTTGCCAACTCTGATTGCCCAATCCAAGATGGCTACTTTTCTGTATGTGGAGGAGCGATTGATAGCTCGACTGTAAGGGTGGGCTAGACATACGTTGTCTCTGGCGGCGAAGGAGATATTGCTCAAATTAGTTGCCTCGGCCCTGCCTTTGCATGTTATGTCTTGTTTTAAGCTCCCTCTCTCGTTGTGTCGTGCATTGGATAGACTTGTGGCCAGGTTCTGGTGGGGAGTTGAGGATGGAAGGGCTCGACTGCGGTGGATATCGTGGAGGAAAATGTGTCGGAGTAAGCATGATGGGGGCATGGGGTTCCGTCGGTTTGAACACTTTAATCAAGCTCTCTTGGCAAAAATTGGGTGGCGCATTCTGGAAGACCCATCTTCCCTACTGGCTCGGGTGTATAAAGGGAAGTATTTCCCGACAGGTTCCTTCCTCAGTGCTACTGCTCGGTCACGTCCGTCGTGGGGGTGGCAGAGTGTGCTCTATGGGCGGCAGCTCTTGTTGAGGGGTCTCCGTTGGCAGGTTGGGAATGGGCGCTCTATGTCGGCCTTAGGGGACAGCTGGGTTCCGGCGTTGCATCCTCAGCCTCCCCTAGCCAACCCCCTTGTTCTTCCAAGTGAGGGAACCCTGAAGGTTGCCGATTTGCTGTGCCCAGGGGAGGGCCGTTGGTCTGAG